TCGCGCGCGAATTGCGGGCGGCGCGTCCGCGCCGAGGAGTGCGACTGGTTGCGCGGCGCTAGCCATGTACAACACATCCACTGAAACGCCAAGTCGTTTGCATCATGCGGAAAGTCGCTTCCATCAGCCGATGCTCTCAAGCGGGGGGAGGTACATGCGTCATTCATGTTTGCTGTTCCCCCAGGAACTCATGGGCCAATTGGAGCGCGGCGCCCCGGCGCGAGATTTTTTTACCACGCGCCCTCGGCGAGATTGCAGCGGGCGCCTTGCGAAATTCTCGCAGCGCCCATGCGCCGGGCCACGCGATGGGTTTGGCGAGACACGAATCACCAAGCCGCAACCTCAACGGGGCGCTCCTTTCGCTGCGAGAGCGGCGGTGCAACTTGGAGAGCATTCGGCTGGGGGGTCGCGCGCTGTCGGCACGCGTTCGCCCCGCGGCGCAGGAGGGCGCAGCGTTGAGCACTGCCGAAGCGAAACGCCCGGCTGCGGCAGGCGCCCCCCAGGAGCTCCGCAAGAAAGGCATGCAGCGCACGCGTGTAGACGCAGCATTTCGACCGCCGCTGGCCCGCGCGGGCGCCCCACGCAGGCGCGACGGCCATCGAGGCGTTGAACAGAGCGATATCCCACGCCTTCCGAGACATTGCTGGGACATCGACGCCGCTCGCACCGGCGCACCCGGGGAGGGGGGGGGGGGGCCATCGCCGCGGCATCGCGGGCGAGGGCAGCAATCGCACGGACGACGCCGCGCGTGACATCAGGGAAGATAACCAGGGCGGGGCGCCCGAGGCGGGCGCGTCAGTCTCGGTGCGCGAGCCGCTCGTGAATGTCTTAGGATTTTCGCACCCGCGTCGCTTGGGCGCCTTCTCGTCCGACGGTTATTGCGCGAGCGATTCCGAGCTTGTGCAATCACGTGAATGCGCGAAGCTCAACGCGGAGGACGCAAGTGCGGCGCGGTCCGCAGCGCGCAGCACTAGACGTTCAGACACACGCAACGCCCGCGGGGCAATTTGCAGCGTTTACTCCTGTCGCTATCGGTGCCGAAATTGGGGGAATTGTCGTCAGGCGAGCATTGCGGTCGGTTGGGATGTCTGACGAGAGCGTTTCCGCCGCCGCCAGACGCCGCGTCGCTGTCTGCTTCCTCGGCGACGACCGGGCGACGAAAAAATAACTCCACCGGCGCCGCCGACGAGACGAGGACGGGCCCGAAGACGACGAGTCGCCACGCCGAGGTTGAGCCAGGCTTGCGGGACGAAGGGCGTCAGATGGCCGCCCCGTCGGGGCGCCCTGGAAGCCTCTCGTCTCGGGCCGCCCGACGGTCATCTTGCGCGTCTTGGGGCGAGCCGGGGCCGTCTTGGACCATCTCGAGCCCCCTGGGCCCCGTCTGGGGCCCCTCGCGGGCCGGGGAAACGAGCGCCGCCGCGCGCTGGGGCCCGCGGGGGGCCTCGTCAAGCCGCGGCAGATTTCGGATTTTCAGCAATGGGCACATCAGAGATTCTTTAGAAGCGGAGGCCTGGGCTTCGAGTTTTCTTCGCGACGCGCCCTCGGCGAGATTGCAGGGGGGTTCTGCGAAATTCTCGCAGCGCCCGAGCACTGGGCCGCGCGATGGGTTTGGCGAGACACAAATCACCAAGCCGCAACCTCAGCGGGGCGCAGATCTCACCGGGCGAGAGCTCGGGGTTCGCTGCGAGAGCGGCGGTGCAACTTGGAGAGCATTTGGCTGGAGGATCGCGCGATGTCGGCGCGCGCTTGTCCCGCGGCGCAGGAGGGCGCAGCGTTGACTACTGCCGAAACGAAACGCCCGGCTGCGGCGGATGCTCTCCAGGAGCTCTGCAAGAAAGGCGCGCGACGCACGCGTGCAGATGCAGCGTTTCGACCGCCGCCGGCCCGCGCGGGCGCCCCATGCAGGCGCGAAGACCATCGAGGCGTTGAACCGAACGATACCCCACGCCTTCCGAGAGATTGCTGGGACATCGACGCCGCTCGCATCGGCGCACCCGGGGGGGGCATCATCGCCGCGGCATCGCGTGCGAGGGCAGCAATCGCACGGACGACGCCGCGCGTGACATCATGGAAGATGACCAGGGCGGGGCCTCCGAAGCGGGCGCGTCAGTCTCGGCGAGCGAGCCGCTCGTGAATGTCTTAGGACGTTCGCGCCCGCGTCACTTGGGCGCCGCGACGTCCGACGGTTATTGCGCGAGCGATTCCGAGCTTGTGCAATCGCGTGAATGCGCGAAGCTCAACGCGGAGGACGCGACTTCTGCGCGGTCCGCAACGCGCAGCACTAGACGTTCAGACACACGCAATGCCCGCGGGGCAATTAGCAGCGTTGGCTCCTGTCGCTATCGGTGCCGAACCTGGGGGAATTGTCGTCAGGTGAGCATTGCGGTCGGTTGGGATGTCTGACGAGAGCGTTTCCGCCGCCGCCGGGCGCCGCGTCGCTGTCTGCTTCCTCGGCGACGACCGGGCGACGAAAAAAACATCCCCCGGCGACGCCGACGAGATGGGAGCGGCCCGAGACCCCTACGGGGCGCCACGCCGAGGTTGAGCCAGGCTTGCGGGGCGTAAGGGCGTCAGATGGCTGCCCCGCCGGGGCGCCCGGAAGGCCTCTCGGGCCGCCCGAAGGCCATATTGCGCGTATTGGGGCGATCCTTCGGCGAGCCGGGGCCGTTCTGGACCATCTCGAGGGCCTCTGGGCCCGTCTGGGGCCCCTCGTGGGCCGGGAAAACACGCGCGCCGCCGCGCGCTGGGGCCCGCGGGGGGCCGCGTCAAGCCCCGGCAGATTTCGGAATTTCAGCAATGGGCACATAGGAGATTCTTCAGAAGTGGAGGCTTGGGCTTCGAGGGCCAGGCAAACGGCCCGAGGGCGCGCCTTCCCCGCGCCGAGGGGCATGGCGGAAGACATTTCTCGCGGCGCCGCTTGCAGCAGGCAGCAAGGATTTTTCCCGATAGGTTGTTCGGATGACCAAGAGGGGGCCCGAGAACACTTCGAGATATCTTCGAGGCGAAGACCCCTACACTGACCCCGAGAAGGCACCATTCCAGAAAGCAGTGTCATGCGCTCCCTAAAACGACGCTCTATACCCATGTCCGGGCTAGCTGGAACACCTTTTTCGGCACATTCGGCTGGGGGTATGTTTTTGGCGATTGTTGAGGGCCCGTGCGAGCAGCAAGTTCAGGTGCCATGCCAGCCAGCGCTGCTGTCTGTCCCATCGAAGACCCAGCAGGGCAATCACATGCGAGGGCCCTCGATCCGGCCAAAGAGGACCCTGGACATTTGTTTTCTGTATTATCCTTATGTGTTGTTCCAGCTGCTTCCACCGTGCAAGGCAGGTTGCCAATGTCATCCCCCGCACCCTACATGTGGTTTTTGTTCCCCGCATCATAAGTGGGGTTCCTGTTTTGTACGCGATGAAGTCTCGAGCGGGATCCCCTTACCCATGAGGCCCGCAGCTCATATTAGTAATCCAAGCGGGTCACCCAAAAACTTGTAATGTCATCACGCTTGCGCTCTTCAGGCTTGAATATGGAGGAACCCTCAAGCGAGAACATCGTCTGTGAGTGAATTGCGAAGATGTCTCAGGCGAAGACCTCCTCCCGATTTGGCCAGCAGCTCACGTTAGCAACCCGAGCCGGTCATCAACAAACTTGTAACCGTCGTCATTTTCGGGTTCCTGAGGCTTGAACATGGAGGAAGTCTCGAGCGGGAGCTTCGTCTATGAGTGAATTGCGAGAACGTCTCAGGCGGGAGTCTCCTTCCTATGCGGCCCGCAGATCATGTTAGTAATACTTTCGGGATCCTCAGGCCTGAGTATGGGGCCGTTTCCAGCAGGAGCCTTGTCTGTGAGTGACGCGCGAGGAAGTCTCAGGCGGAAACTACCGACCTATGGGGGACGCAGCTCCCGTTGGTAACCCAAGCTGGTCATCGAAAAAATTGTACTTGTCGCCACTTCTGGGCTCTTTCGGCGTGAATAAATCGCGAGGAATCTTAGGCGGGAGCAGCCCTTCCGTATGGGGCCCGCAGTCTATGTTAGTAACCCGAGTGGATCATCAAATACCCGCAAGTTCGCAATTTAAGGCCCAGCGGGGGATGATTCTGGGAGGGGAAGCAATCGCACACGCCTAGCGTCTAGTGACCCAAAATGGGTCGGCAGAGTTAGATATTTGGACGATCCGACGCGGCCTGATGCTTGCATGTCGTTGTTTAGCATCATGGCGCAGCTGGGTCGATTATATTACGACTCCGTGCCGATGCGGTTCGATCGACGCGCGTTCCGACCCGATGTGATGTCCCGATCAGCATCACAACCACCACCACCATCTTCATCATCGCCATGATCTATTTCGTGTCCCATTCCTTCCCACCTCCACCGAGGGCTGGAGGGAAGGGAAGGGGGGATGAGGCGAGGATACAACGGGGGGCGCGCACCACGAGACCCGATACGTTGCGTCTGGGTATTTCCGGTTTCTTTGCTTCGCGCGCTGCGCGGTGATTTTTCGCGGGCTTAACGAGATCGTTGCATTCAGGGTTCTCTGGTTTTCCTCCTCCCAGTTGCACCCCGCGCGCGGATGTTCATCGTTGAGTGTAAGGGTGTCTTGAGGCCGCGTCTGCATAGGAAGTGGGTGAGGAGCGAGGAGACGGGGAGAGGATTTGCAGAGGAGGGCGGAGGGAGAGGGCGTGGAGACACGTGAGGTGCCTTCGCGTAATATCTGACATCCGATCCCCATCGCCCATCCCTTCCCACTGCGCCGACTTATCTACATCCGCCGACGGGTGTCACAGCGGCCGGGAACCCCCGAAAGCAACCCCGCGTGCGATGCACAATCAGAGAAGGGGATGTGTGTACATGGAAGGACGAGGAGGGGGCGGATGAGCTGGAGGATGCATGGGGAGGAGGAGGAAGGGGGAGGACGAGGCGGAACAGCAACAGCAGGAGCAGGAGGAGTGGAGACGAGGAGGGGAGGGCGGAGGCGGAGGAGCTGTTGCACCCCCCTAACGTAAGGCGCTCCCGCTGCTCGGGGTGGGCACGGCGCTGGGCGCGCTGCTGACGAAGCAGCTCTTGAGCTTCCTGGACCTGCAGAATCCCGAGGCCGCCCATCGCCCCCCACCCTCGAGGTTCGAGGAAGATCGAGAAACAACAGCTACGCCCGAGGAGGACCAACCGCAACAACAACAACAACAACAACAACAACAACAACCATTTTAAGGCTGTGCGCTCTTACTTGCCCGCGAGTCATTCAACACGTATACCCTAGACCCTCGATACCCGCCCTCTTCGTCTTCGATCACACCCCTTTCGGGGGGATTATTTCTCTTTGCTGGGGCCGGCGGGCTTAGACGTACGGGCAAACCGGAACGGGCGGACAATCCTTCGGGGGCGTACATCTCTCTGCCCGCCATTGGAATTGGCGCGGGCCCTGCAAGAGGAGGAGGGGAAGAACGAGGGAGAGTGGGAGGAAGGGGAGGGGGAAGGACGAAGGAAGAGGGAAGATACCACGTTGTGAAGGCGTCCTTGGCGCGTGCGTGGTTCCTGAGCGCCGAAACGCAATTCCAGAATAATTTGTGAGGACGTCGCACGCGAGAGCGCAGTCCTGAGTACATTGTGAGGAAATCTCAGGCGGAAGCGGGGGCCCTGACTAAGTTGCGAGGAAGTCTCAAGCGGGAGCGCCGTTCCTGAGCAAATTGCACGGAAGTCTCAGGCGGGAGCGGGGGTCCTCACTAAATTGCGAGGAAGTCTCAGGCGGGAGCGCCGTTCTTGAGTCAATTGCGCGGAAATGTCAGGCAGGAGCGGGGGTCCTGAGTAAAATTCGAAGAAGTCTCAGGCGGGAGCGCCGTTCCCACGTAAATTGCACGGAAGTCTCAGGCGGGAGCGGGGGTCTTGATTACATTGCGAGGAAATCTCAGACGGGAGCGTCTCTCCTGAGTAAATTGCGCAGAAGTCTCAGGCGGGAGCGGGGATCCTGAGTAAAAATTGAAGAAGTCTCAGGCGGGAGCCGTTGTTGTTGTAGCCCGGGGGGCAGGGGCACAGTTTGAGCAGGAAGACTTTCCTTGAGAAAAAACAAGGTGCGAGCCCCGGGGGTGGCACTCCAATCGAAAAAAATCAATGTGCACCGGTGGGGGGGGATCAACAATAATTATTTAAGAATGAGAGTTCAGCAACAATCATTTTAAGACCGTTCGCCCTTATATGCTCGACTGTCCAATAATGCGTAATCCCAAACCCTCGATACCCGCCCTCTTCGTCTTCGATCGAACCCCTTTTGGGGGGTACACCTTTCTTCCCTGCAGGCCGGGCCCCGGCAAGCGGCGGGGCGGCCGCGGACCGGCGGCCTGGCCAGCGGCAGCGCTGATCGGCGGGGCGGCCGCGGACCGTCGACCCGACCCCAAGAGGGACCGACAGGGGACCGACAGCGACGACGAGCGAATGCGAGAGCGAGAGAGAACGACAGCAGGGCCACGAAGGGCACGAAGTAGGCCACGAAGGGCGACAGCGGGAACACGAAGGGAATGCGTATGGGGCCACGAAGAACGCGAACGAACGGGGGCCACGAAGAGCAGATAATGCGGGGCCACAGAAGGCAACGATGGGGCCACTGAGGGTAGCAACTGGGCCACGTAGGACAGTGAGGGGGACAAATGGCGACAGCGGGGCCACGAAGGGCACGCACATGGGGCCGCAACGGGCGCGACTCCTGGGTGCCTGGGTGTCGGGAGCGCGGCGGTTGGGCAAATTGCAAGAAATTCCAACGCAAGGCCATTCTTCGAAATCAGTAAGTTGCAAGCAAACCTCCAGCGAGAGCGCGACTCCAGAGCGCCGGGAGAGCAATGCCTGAATAAATTGTAAGGACGTCCCAAGCGAGAGCGCGATTCCTAAAGAAAATGCGAAGAAGTCTCGGGCGGGAGCGGGGGTCCTGGCTAAATTGTAAGGAAGTCTAGGGCGGGAGCCGTTGTTGATGTAACCCGGGGGCCAGGGGCCCAGTTCGAGCAGGAAGTTTTTCCCTTTCAAAAAACTGGGTGCGAGCGTCGAGGGGCACACTTTGATTGACAACAAACAGTATGCACCGGGGGGGGGACCAACAATAATTATTCAGCAGAAATTAGAATTCAACAACAATCCTGGTAACACTGTTCGCTCCGATCTGCCCGTATACCATTCTTCAACACGCATATCCCGAACCCTCGATACCCGCCCTCTTCGTCTTCGACCGTACCCCCTCGGGGTTATATTTGTCTTTCCTGCAACGTGTATTTCGTGCAGCCCCTGAGGCAGGGGAAGAGAGGACTTTCTCATGGAAGGGACAAGGGGGAGGGAGGAGGATTGAGCACGAGAGAAAATACCATGAGAGGGGGCCAAGAGCAGAAAGCGCGTGGCAGAACCAGACAGGCAGATCGGGCGGGTAGACCCTACCAGGCGGATCGGGAAGGAGGGCCCAGGATGCCAGGTCGAGCAGGCGGATTGCTGAAGCGTGCGTCCTGCATGAATCGCGAGGAACTCTCGAGCGACAGCTCGATTCCCAAATCAGTCGTGAGGAAATCCGCAGCGAGAGAGTGACCCCTGAATGTCGAGGGCGCGGCGTCTGATAGATTGCAAGGAAGTCCCACGCGAGAGCGCGATTCCTGAATACATTGTGAGGAATTCCCGCGCGAGAGCGCGATTTGTGAATGGGAGCCGTTGTTGTTATAGTTCGGGGCCCAACAAAGCAGTTTGAGGGGAAAGACTGTCCCAAATAAAAAACCGGGTGCGAGCCCTGGGAAGTGCATTTAAATTGAAAAAACACATGTCACCAGAGGGGGGATCAAGAATAATCATTCTTCAGTAGTGGGAGCTCACCAACAACAACAGCAATCACAACCACAACCACAACCACAATAATCAGTTTACGTCAGACCTCCGCTCCTATCTGCTCACGTGCCATGCAACACGTATATCCCAAACCCTCGATACCCAGCCGCTTCGTTTTCGATCGTACCCTTTGGGTGCATATTTTCCCAATCGGTTTCGCGTAATTGGCACAGCCCCTGAAGCAGAAAAAGAGGCGACGCATGGAAAGGGGAGAAGGATGGAACACAGGATTAACAGGAGAGGGGGCTAGGAGCAGAAACCACGTGGCAGAACCAGACGGGCAGATCGGGCGGGCAGACCCTAGCGGGCGGGTCGGGGAAGCGGCCCAGGCGGCCAGGTCGACAAGGCGTGTTGCTGAAGCATGAGTCCTGCATGAGTCGCTAGGATAGCGCGATTCCCAAGTAAGTTGTGAGAGAAGCCACAGCGAGAGCGTGATCCTTGAGTGTCGAGGGTACGGTATCTAAATACATCCCGAGGAAGTCCCACGCGAGAGCGCGATCCCGGCATAAGTTTAGAGAACGGGCCGCGCGAGAGAGCGAGTTTGGAATACTCTGTGGGGGAGTATCAGGCGGGAGCCGTTGTTGTTGTTGTTGTTGTACTTCGGGGCCCAAAAACCCGGCTTGGTGGCACCACGTTTTCCGGAGAAAGAACCGGGTGCAAGCCCCGAGAGGGGCACGTCGATTGAAAAACAAAGAAGTTCAGATGATGGATCAACAACAATTGTGAATTAGGAACGCAAGCAAACCCACAACAACAACAACAATCATGTTAAGACTGTTTACTTTTTTTATCTGCTCGCGTGCCAATCAACTCGTACATACGAAGCCCTCAATACCCGCCCTGTTCCTCTTCGACAACCCCGAAGGCAGGGGAAATAAGGACAGATGGAAGAAAGGCACAGGGGGCAGGCGGGTAGCTGAAGAGTGCGTCGCGCAAGAACCGCGAAGAAGTCTCAAGCGATAACGCAAATCCCAAGTAAACCAACCGGAAATCCACAGCGAGAGCGCAGTTCGCAAAAGTCGAGGGCGCGGCGTCTGAATAGATTATGGGGAAGTCCACGCTGGAGCGCGATTCCTGGGTAAATATTGAGGAAGTCCCGCGCAGAAGCGCGATGCGTGAATAAATTGTTAGAAAGGATGAGGCGGAAGCCTTTGCTGGTGTAAGTCGGGGGCCAGGGGCGCATTTCGGTGAACCTTCAATTCCCTTTTAAACAAAGCAACGCGGTGCGAGCCCCAAGAGAAAATTTGATTGAACAACTACTACAAAGGGTCACCAGAGGGAGGATCAACACCAATATTTTGAGAATTCCGCAACAACACAACAACAAACAATACCAACAACAACAACAACAGCAGCAACAACACATCACCAACAACATGAACAACACCAACAGCTTTAAGACTATTCGCTCTGATCTGCGCGCGTACCACTCAGCACGTTAGTCCCAAGCCTTCGATACCTGCCCTGTTCGTCGTCGATCGTACCCAGTTGGGGGTATTTATTTCGTACCGGCAACGTGTCGTCCATGCAGCCCCTACGACAGGGGAAGAAAGAATTGATGGAAGAAAGGGACACGGGGGAGGGAGGAGGATGGAGCACGAGAGAGACAGAGAGAAAAAAACAAAGGCGAGAGAGAGAGAGAGGGAGATAATAGCGGGAGAAGGGGCTAAGAGCAGAAAGCACGTGGCAGAACCAGACGGGCAGATCCAGCGGGTAGACCCTAACAGGCGGGTCGGGAAGGCGGGCCCAGGCGGCCAGGTCGAGCAGGCGGGTTGCTGAAGCGTGCGTCTTGCATGAATCGGGAGTTTCGAGCGACAGCGCGATTCCCAAGTTAACCGTGAGATGGACCAAACCAAAAGCGTGATTCTTGAGTATCGAGGGCGCGGCGTTGGAATACACTGCGAGGAAGTCTTACGCGAGAGCGCGATTTCTTCATAAGTTGTAAGGGCGTCCCGCGCGAGAGCGTGATGTGGGAATAAGTTTTGAAAAAGTATCGGGCGGGATCCGTTGTTTTTGTAACTCTGGGGCCAGGGTTAAATTTTGAGACCCAAGAGTTCTTTCCCCCTTGTCCAAAACAGAGTGCGAGCCCCGGGAAGGGCACTACACTTGTTTAAAAAAACCAGGTTTCCCGGAGATGGGGATCAACAAATTTTATGTTTCAGAAATGAGAGTTTAACAACCATTTTAAGAGTGTTCGATTTTGCCTGTTCGCATGGCGTTCATCACGTATATCCTAAATTGTCGAC